AGTTGTTTATAATAGAAAAACTGGAACAAGAAGAATTCAAGACATAGTCACTCAATGGTTAAATTTAGTGTATTTCATATATATGCATAAAACTGTAGCTAAATTTCTAAGACATAATAAAAATACTGAATAAAAAAAGCAAGTTGCAAAAGGATACGTATGTGATTACACCGTGTGTATAAATAATCTAAGCACAGTATTTTTGGCTCTTTATATGTCATAAGAGTACAAAAATAATTAGAAAGCCACAGGGCAGTAGAATAGTGCTTATCTCCAGGGGAGAGAAGGGGACTCAGATGATGCAGGAGTGTCTGTGCTTTTCATCCTTTGGGAGAAGAATTTAAGGAGTCTGAAACAAATTTATCAAAAGAATGGCATTTGGAAAGGCGCGATTACATTTAGGTGTTTATCACCTTGTTTTCTACGCTACTCTGCATTTTCGAAACATCTTTAACTTAAAATTTTTTATTAAGTTCAGAGTTCCTCCTTTCAAAATCGCACCTTTTTAAAGATATTATCAGAGTTATTTAAAGGTGAGAAGACTAATAATCTTCCACGTACAGAGATCAAAACCTCCTCTTTTCTTATGACATCAGCGTTGTTTGACGCAACTTCGGTGAAAACGAACCAGCTGATTTTTTTTCTTCCACGTCCGGGAGTCATTTTTCGGCCTCCCTCCTCATCAGGGCTAGTTCTTCAATTATTTCGAATTCGGCATTCAAGTCCATTAGCTGTCCGCTGGTAGCTCAACACAGTTCTTTTGATTTCCTATTTTCCTATTCCTAGTTCAATCAATAGCTTTTGTTCCCACGTCCTTTTGGCGTTTCCCTCTTCCCACTGAGTGTACCACAGAGAGAGCTGCCTGTTTGTCTTCCTGAGAGTCTGTGGCATTTTAGTTTTTGGCCGTCATTCTGGTGTATTCCCCTCTGAAACACCCTTTTGAACAATTATTTCTTTTTCTAAAAATATATTTATTTATTTGTGCACACAGAGCTGGGGTGCAGGCCAGAGGCTCAGGGGCGGTGAGAGGCTTCCCCAGAGACAGAGTAGGAAGCAGAACAGGCAGAACGGCGAAGTCCACTGCTGAGGGGAGCAGCGTGGAGACAGGAGAAGTCTGCTGTGCCCTGGAGGTCCCCTCCGGGGCGGGGGATCGCACTGAAGCCGCTGTGGCTGGCTGACTGGCTTGCAGTGCTGCGTCCTAACCCACTGAGCCACCAGGGAGGGCCCTGAACAATTATTTCAAACTCAAAAACCTTATGGTGGCCAGTGCCAACGAGTAAATTTCAAAATCCCCAACCGGTTGTGATCCACCTCGAGTCTTCTCAGGTCTGTCCCCACGGCTGTCACTTGGAGGGATGCCCCCACTTCCCGTCACGCTCCCGCTGTCCTGTGTTCAGTGCTGAGGTGCTTTTACCTCACACCAAAGCCTCCACAGAGCTTTCTTCCTGCCTGCCTGTCTCTGAAGCACAGCCCGCCAGCTGCCCCAGGTACAGGCCATGCTCTTCTTGAACAAAACGGGGCTGGGAAGCGACTTCTTCCTCCGTCCCCACTCCCCGTCCACTCGTCCTGGGCTCAAGTATTTGGTGACCCAAAGACAAAGTTGGGATGAACAGAGGTGCTCATCCGCGACACCTCCTCTGTACATCACGACATCACCTTCCCTCGGACTTACCTGTGCTCTGGTTTCTCCTCAGTGAAGTCAACTATAAAGTGGGCTGACCTGGACCAGACTTGACCTGCTCTGTGCCTTAGGGCAGGACCTGATGAAAACGAGATTCCTCTCGGCATCATACTCTGTCAGCTCTAGTTGCACATTTTGCCTGAAGTCGGGATGCATTTCACAGTGGACCTGAGGGCTTTTACTTCTGCCTTGGCATCTAAAGTGAAGGGGCACCTTACTCGGAGGTCTCTTGAATTTGATGCAAGGGGACACGGGAAGGCTCCTGGAAAGCACATGAAGTCCAAGTCGTGTCGATCTGCGTGTTCGCCGGCCGTGTTTACGACGAGCGTCTGGAACGCCGCTGAAGGCTCGCGTACTTCGGAGAACAGGGTTCTAGAGCAGCATTCCTGCACGCTCTCCTACAGGGGCAGCACTGTGTACTCACCTGCTCTGCCAGACGTGGTGAACTCCCAGGGGACAGAGACCCAGAAAGACACGTCTCCGTATCTCTGTGGGAACAGCAACAGGAGCAGGAAGTCTGAACAAAAGCTTCGAGTGAAGGAAGGGAGCCCAGACACGCCCAGACGACCCAGACGACCCAGGCGACCCAGACGACCCAGGCGACCCAGGCGGCCCAGACGACCCAGGCGACCCAGGCGACCCAGG